TAACTTTGAAAGAGAAACATTGTTTTTTTTAAAATTTTAATGCTTTCCCGCATCTATCGTTTTCCCGCATTCATCGTTTTTATTTCCCACCCCCGCCGAAAACGATGCATCGAGGTTTCACTGTATATACCTTCAAGGCATACTGCTCAGGCAATGAAGACACTTCTAGATGGAGCTAATTTACAGGGTTTAATAAATTAAATAAATAAAGGCACCAAAGCCTGTCCCAAGACAGGTTGTGAGAGGGTGAGGGGGAGGAGTATCAACCTCATAAAAGACCAGGGTTCAGCTGGCCCAGCTGATAGCACCCTGTAAGGGACCCCACCAGGGTATGAACAAACCTGCTGCCTTGCAAGAAGGCGTTGAATCACCAAAGGCTACAGGAAGAAACCCTTATCAACATTTTCATGTTTTTGGTTGGGAAGATGGGCCTGCCACCCACTTTCCACAAAATATAATGAAGCACAAAAAATCCTAAGAATCATGCAACTAGGGTGCAAGAAATGACCATAACGGCTGTAAAAAACTTGCTATAATAAAAAATTAAATACAGTACAACCTTCATGTCTGGACAAGTGGTTGTTCAAAGAACTAGAAAACATGAGCTGTTGGATGGCTGGCAGACAGACAGACAGACATCACCCCATAAGACTATCTACGTGTGCATTATGTAACAATTCTGGTACAGTCACCAGAACTAGACCCTTGAGCTCTGTTAATCATACCAGTGACACCAGAGTTGACTGGAGGCCAATGACCTCTCCCCTACATGGTTGGATGGCTGGGGGTTCCCTAGGTAAACATCATAAATAAAGTAACCTTGAGATTTCATACAGTCATTTCTGAATGCAGGTCAACATATAAAGTACTCAGTACTGTTGTCTGATTTTAATCAAAACTTGAACATGTTGAAGAATTTTAGTAAAACTCCCCAATATTAAATTTCATAAAAATCCATTCAATGTCAATATGCCTAAAGTTAAATATCAGACCCCACATTCCTTACCTTAAATGTATATCATTCTGACTGCTGTCCCTATACTGAACAATTCCTTGCCAGTTTAAGATATTATATTCCTTTTTATCTGTTGATACAGGCTATTAAATCTGCATTCAGAATACATCTCTCAAACAACTTCATTGTTGTTCTGTGGTATACATTTACAGTTCCCATCCCTAATATACAGGGCTATTCAAAAAGATTGTCAGGGTTTTGTGAATTTTTGTGGGGTAATGCATTAAACATACGACTATTGTCATTACACTGGTGGATAGAGAAACTCTCAAAGTTTTGTTCTGTACTGCCCGCCATCCAGTAGTTACGTGTTTGGCCGCCAGTTGTCAGCTTTTGGAATCTGGCGGCTAACGGTAAGGAGAAGGCATTTTGTACTCTCAAATATCATCAAAGTCGGTCCGTTACCATTGTCCAGTGGCACTTACACACAAAATTTGGGAAGGATCCGCCCTCTGACAATTCCATTCGCAGGTGGTATGCACAATTTGTGGAGACGGGATGCCTGTGTAAAGGAAAAAGCAGTAGGCGTCCCTCCGTGTCGGAAGCGAAAGTGGACCAGATCAGAGAAGCTTTCCAATGTAGCTCTAGAAAATCAACTGAGAGAGGCAGCAGGAAACTCAGCATACCGCAACCCACAGTTTGGCGTGTGTTACGGAAGCAACTAAGAATGAAGCCATATCGCCTAATGCTGCTTCAAGCTTTAACACCTGATGACCACCACTGAAGGGGGGCTTTCTGCACTGCACTGCAACAACTAATGGAAGAAGATGGCTTCTGTGACAGGCTGATTTTTAGTGATGAAGCAACCTTTCATTTGTGTGGATAAGCTAATAAACACAATGTTCGAGTTTGGGGGACGGAAAATCCCCATTGTTACGATGAACATCAGCGTGACTCCCCCAGTGTGAATGTGTTCTGCGCTGTTTCCAAAATGAAGGTATACAGCCCGTTTTTCTTCACTAAACAGGCAGTAACAGGACTGGATATGGTCACTGAATGGCTGCTACCCCAGCTGAATGAGGACAGAGCTGATTTCATACTGCAACAAGATGGCGCCCCACCTCATTTCCATCGAGAAGTCAGGGCATTTTTAAACCAGCACTTACCGCAGCAATGGATCGGACGCGGGACTGACGTTGATCAGAAGCTCCTGTCTTGGCCACCTCGTTCACCGGACTTAACACCATTTGATTTTTTTCTGTGGGGCTACGTGAAGGATCAAGCCATTGTCCCCCCTCTACCTGCGACTATCCTGGATCTGAAGGTGCGTATCAGAGCCGCCATTCTAAACTTCACCGCTGGGACGTGTGTGGGAAGAAATGGACTATCGTGTAGAGGTCTGCAGAGTGACAAAAGGCGCACATATTGAGCATTTATAATGCATGTAAAAAACTTTCAGATTTTTCCTACACAATAAAATGAGATTCGTATTCCTACCTCAATTGTACTATATGTAGTGATTTTTTAAATCCCCGACAATCTTTTTGAATAGCTCTGTATATCTCATATTGAATTGTACAATAGCACTAGACCATGCCTGAACAATTCACACTAAGTAGGATTTGAAGTTCTCACAGTTATGAGTATGAAGATGGTTGGCTTCTGGGTCGTAGTCCCATGTTGTATGGTAGAAATTTACTAACATTTCAGATGTATTTGTATGGTGATACAACCCAGAACACAGCCATCTTCAATTCTTATCAAAATCAAAGTGAAAATATGACTTCAATGACACGTTTGTGAATTTAAATATCCTTCACACTGGGATAAAACTGGTGAAATGACAAGAATGTTTTCCATCTGACATGCACATACGTTAATAAACAGTTAGGACCTATATTGACAAAAGAAGCTACATGCTTGCTGACAGCAGGTTATCCCCACCTACATGTGCAAACACACAGACATGTGAATTACTTATTGTTACACATAGGACACACAATATGGAATCTCTTAATATTATTTGTTTGTTTTACTCTGTTTTATGAGGAAAGTGCAAATGAACTTGCCTGAACACTGTGTTAATCTCTGGATGGATTCTACTGCCCAGGTGCAGGAAATTGATGACTGAGTTTGCTGGACTGTAGAGGTGATACAATGACATAATACTCCAATTTAAAATATTTGCTATCTTTCATATAAAGAAATTGGTCCCACTGATACATCCAAATAAAATTATTTTTTAAATCTATTTCCTCCAGAAACTGATGATATATAAAAATAAACTAATACTTTGATATAACTCATAAAAATACAAAAAAGGCAGATGATATGTTTGTGTAGTTGTTTCCCTGATATTTTTTATGAAGATACTGAGCAAGAAACATGAATGTGTAAGTATTATTTACAAAAGCACGGCTCCATGTTCCAACAAAGCAAAATTTTTAACATGGATATGAAAACAATTTCAGGGAAGGCAGCTGAGAGAGAGAGAGAGACACACACACTAGTAACCCTTTCACTTAACAACCTTATGATGAATTAAGTTACAACTGAAAAGCTGTTCTGTTTTAAATTCATATTATATAAATGAGGAAGGCTTATCAATTGATCTCCTTCAAAGTAGGAGATGGGGATCTGAAAGCTGAATATTGCACTAAATAATTTACAGCTTACTTCATGCCTGTATACATGATAATCCTACATTCACAGCTTCCATGGCTACCTTTTTACATGAGGAATTTTATATACCGTAATGCTAATGAGACTGATTCTGTCCTAAAATGTAAACTGGAATATGTTTAGTACTCACGAGTGTTTAGTTTCTTTCATGATGACCTTTCCTGGATCGGCTTTCCGTATTTCACTTTCCCGTACCATCTCTGTTACAGACTTAAATGCTGTTGCATGTACTCTGAAACACGAAGCAAAGTAGACATTACACATAAAACACAACAAAACTCTCATTTACACAATCATATAACCTTTCCAAGGTAGATACTCACACTTTATATGTTATATCTGCTATTAAAGAAGCAAATGGAATAAGGAAGAGACCAAGCCAGAAGACAGGAGACGTATACATCATGCGATCCATCCCCAACATCACTGCTCCCACTGGCAATGATGGCCAAAAATTGCTGAAAAATGGAATATTTACAATTCAAAAGTGAACATTTACTGTTTGGAAGATGTGTTAAAATGGTGTGGATGTGATCATGCAATGAGTTAGATAAAGGTGTCAATATGTCAAGAATTACATTACCTTGACTCTCAGCACACCGCAGCACCAATTAAATTTTGTTCACACCATCCTGTAAGTTCCTGCTATCTACAGCAACTGCACATAACAACTTCTGATTCATATATCATAAAAAGACCCCTACTTAACTGGTGTAAATGGGGCTGGGTGGTATGGCTATTAGTCAAAAAGATGTTTAATATAAACCTACATTCTTAAATTGTAGAAACAATAAATAAATAATTAATAAACAGAAAGTAATGAAAACTGAGTGAAAAATCATCACTATCATATACTAAGTATAACAATGATTTATAAGACACTAGAAAAGCTATAGAATATGTACTTCCATAAAATACTTCATAAAACTTATTTCAGAAAAAATACACATGCCTGTCATACAAAAGACATCAGTAGCCATAGCTAATATATCACACACTTAAACTCTGCAAGTAAACTACAAATAACAATAACAATGATGAAAGTATTGTGTTCTCCAGTTTTGGTTTTAGAAGTATCTTCTTTTGAATATATGAACCCTCTTGTCACATTCTCTCTTGGACTTGAAGATTATAGATGATGGGCCTGTGTTATTTTACACTGTTTGCTTCAACCATATTATAAAATGTAACTTCTAAAAGTTGTCACATAGCCCAGACTGAACAATGCATTTCACAACACCAGCTCACCTGTACATGACTAGGACGATAAACCACGTGGCTATGGAGCCCCAGATAGCAAGATGTGTAAGCCACGTCCATGCATTAGTTACCAGGCCTGCTTTCAGGCACACAGTCACCACCACATACTACAGGGAACATAAAAAACATTACATTACATATAGTGTCATGACCATGAAAAAACTCTGTTGTCTCAAAACAATAATAATGAAACCCAAAATCAAAATTTTGGGTCACAGTTATAAAAGGTTAGAGAACAGGGCAGTTTTTGTACAGCACATTACACAAAATAAAACTTTCCTTACCTTTGGAATTTAGCCACCTTTCTTTTATTCTATAAATTTCTGGACATTATTATCATATAACAGGTTATTCTGCTAAATCTAATGATATCCAAGACTCTATCTTATAATATAATAGGCAATATTTAATGCATTTTTATATTAATGTTTCATAAGCCCTTTAAACTAGTAAACTAATCTGAAATGTTAATCGGTTACTTTTTTTAACTTCTACATCAACAAATGTTTTAATATATTTCTCCACACTAAATATCTACTGCAGTTGCTTTGCTTTGTAAAAATCTTTAATTCTGCAAATTATTGGTGATCAGTATCACAGTCAGTCAGCCTTTCTATAAGATCTGATATCTGTCATATTTTATCCACTAAAATATGATGAATCTTGATTCTCCCATTTGCAAATATCAATATGTCACAATTTTAACATCAGAATTTTGGATGTGCCAACATTTCGCAGCCATTCTTTGTTTCATCAAGGACAGGTCCAAAGAATAATATATGCAGTTAACAATGTAACTAGACATAAAATATGAATGCTTTAAATTTATATATATTATAAGAAAAAAACCAATGCAGATGAAGAGTGCAGAGCAAATTTAAGATAATCAGGCCAAATTGAAACTTCCTCATATTAATTACACACAAGATAATCATGAAATGAAATGAATAATGCCATTGGGTTTTAAAGCATGTGTTATTTTCAATGGTTGGTATTAAGAGTGTAGCCTTACAGAGTAAACAATGTCTCCAAGTAGAAGATAGCCTCCTTCCCTGCCATTACTCCATATTACATCCTTCTCTGCTGCTAGAAGAGGTAGCCAGTACAAGAGAATTGAATGACCCAACGCATTAAGGATCCATACCCAGAACACCTTCACATTGAAAAGGTCTGCATTCTGTGATGGCTTGTACAGGGCTGGGTATTTCAGCATTGTTTCAGCAGAGCAAACCTTGTCAAACAAACCCATAGCCAGAGGGGGTGCTGCAGTAAATAACTGAAACACAACACAAGGATTCACAAACTCACAAATACACTAAACATTAGTAAGCTATCATATCATGTTGACATATACACAATGACTGCAACAATTTCAATGTGCAGTGTTCTTATAAAAATTGAGATATGATGCTTTTGTATTTCTGAGTAAATGATCACTTCACACAAAAAATTTAAAATTACTTAGTGAAATCATAAAACAATATATACATAATTTAGAAGTGTATTATAGTTATCTTCCTGTTTACACAAATAAAAAAAATCCTGATTCTGGATTTAAAAAACCCTGATAAATTGGAGCTTTAAATTCCTAAACAACAATTTCAAAGAATGCAATCTAAATCACAAACATATCTTCATTAAATCTGAAAGGCTTAAACACTGGAGCTAAAACAGTACCCTGAACTGGAAATGTAGCTAAAGATGAGCAAAGGACAAGTACTGAAAGTGACCAAGGAGATGCTCATTTGACTACGGTATCACTAGACAGGACAGACCCTTTAAATCACAGTCTATTTAATTCCCATCATTTAACAGAAGCAGCAATTTTAAATTTAAATATTTTCAGATTCAAGCACTGTCCTACTAAGACAAATGCATAGTTTTTGGGTCATAACCAGAGACTCATGTTCAACACCTGTTACAGTTTCCTTTAAAACATTTTCATCATTGTCTACACATTCAAGCACATCAGAAGACACAAACAAGCAGTTTTCCTTCTACTCCTGTGTCAGTAGTTGTAGAATGATCTTGTTTGACACATAAATCATTCCCAAGTTCTTGGTTACAATTACCTCATATGATCTATTAGAAACACCTACCTCTTCAACCGTTTCATAAATAGTCAACCTTGTCATTTCATACTACATCACTCACTTCAGATATCAATTCACTGTTTCTACTTGTTGGAGGGTGTCCAAGACACTTGTCACTTTTGACAGACATTCATCCCCCTTTAAAACAATGGAACTTAAATCTTGTGCTTCGATAAACGTTTCAGAAATGCCAAGTTTTAACCCTTGTCTTTCTGATCACCTCACAAAATTTAATACACATTTGTTGTTCTGTTCTCTTCAGCAATGTTAAATCAACAGGGACAAGAAGACTCAAGGACATGTGGTAAATTTGAATTTAATCCAGTCCAGAGACCTTTTGTGATGCCCCATATTGTGTATGCAGAATCTCAAACTTTTTCACCACAAAAATTATTTTCAAGTTATATGGCAATGCTTTACATAAAGAGTGACTTTATTTTGTAAAAACTGAGGAATATTCTTTAGGCCTGGTTATATGCAAATCAAATTAAGAAATGTAAAAATATTTATCAGAGTGTGTGAGAGAAAAGGACCTGGACTGAAGGCAATACAGCCTACTGCCATAGTCAAACATATGCTAATGCCACTCAGTTAACATCTTTAAGGGTACATTCCCTGGTAAGAGCTTCAATTTGCTTCTCATCTATCTAATGTGAAGATTTGTATATAAACATAGGGAACAGTCTCACACATGTCTGACAAAAGACCACAATATAGGAGATAGCAATGGCTAAAGATCATAATTCAGTACATCCTGTGTTGCTTTCTGGAGGTCCTAACAGTCTATTGAAATTATTAAATCCTGTGTTGCTTTCTGCAGGTCCTAACAGTCTATTGAAATTATTAATGTAAATGCTATTTCTGTTCTGAAGTAACCCTTTATTAGCAAGTGGGAACTAGCACTAATCTTCTTTCAATAAAACAGGAAGAAGGGCTGACTTGTCTTTTTTTTCATGTATTGTCATGAGAGTACCAACAGACACAGGTTCTACACCCTGATACTGTTTATTTAACAATACTGAAAGGAAGGATCTTAAAAGTGATGTGGATGTTGGACTGAAACTACAGGCCTACAACATTTCTTCTAATGCAAAATACACATTTATATATGGGATTAAAATTCACAGCAGTACAAATCTCAGTGACAAATTCCCAAGCAAGTACAAGATGATCTTCACAGCTTGAAAGTGGTTGAGTCAGCCAGAAAACTTGAAGAAAATCAACTAAAACAGCATCACTACTTCCAGTAACATTTACTTATATTTTGTGTTAGAACACAATTCAATATTTTATTGAAGAACATAAAAGAACTCACACACAGAATAGCCATGGACATTAACTTTAACCACACTTAAAATCCCATGAATATTCTTAAACCTTTTCTGTTTCACAGTGAATTTGATTATTTGAATTCACAACATAGGGTATGCTTTATTACTTTAAAACTGCATAGATTAAACAGAACATGAAACAAAAGATAAAAAATCATAAAGTAACATGACACAGTGATATAAATACAAATTAACGCAACAAATAAAGATATGAACATAATCCATATCTGGATATAAACAACAACAGGTTGCTAACTTATAAAAGAAGTAAAGAAGAGTTATTTATAGCTTCTCATTGCTCCACTACTCAAAATGTTAGCATTGCACTCTCCAAAATGAAGTCTAAAAAATTCATACTCTGTATAAGTATGAAGAAAACTATAAAAACCTCAGGACAGCTATACCCCAGCAAGACTCAAGCCAGGCACCTTCTAAACTTTAGTAAAACATGTTATTGCTATCACAGGCAGTGTGCAGCTTACATACCATACTTAATATTTATGATACATAGGTAAGCAAGCAGACTGGAATTGGTTAAGATCACATTCAGTTTTCAAGAACAGTTCTGATAGCATGTAAACTTGAAATTATAACTTACCACATTATACAAGCCAACTGTCCACCTCTCAAATAGAATCTGTCCAGACCAGCCAGAATAGATTGCAAACCACAGCTCAATAACATAGAGACAAATGTTTTTATAGAAGCTGTATAGAATCAGTTTGCACATCCGGTTGTAATTCCAAGCACCATGCACAAAGAGGAG